GATGCTCGTACCAGTCTTTCGGTTGGTTCGGCTGCGTGGGGGTAAACGCAATTGCCAGTATTCGTGCGTGGGATACCTGTTGTAACGATAACCTAGCTTCACTTAAATGTCCGATTATTCTTGTTAAATATAAGGTACATAAATATACATACCCTACCCTAGGAAACGGGCTGGCTTGCCACACCTGTTAAAGATTCTACATTGTAACAATTGAGACTTTTAGAGAGAATTTTTATTCAAAGAATTTTTAAATCAATTATATCATCCAGTGAGTGACACAATGTAAAAATAAGAAATGATTTAGGAAGTAAATTAAATTAGGAAGCATATTATATAAGACTACTGTTCATTAGTATACATCGTTTTAAGTTTACTACCTTGTAAACATCACAACCAATTTATGAAAAACTAAATAATAAATATAGATGTACTCAGACCCATAGAAATCTATATCATTCAAAATATCGGTGAAATGGCAGGAAAAGTATACCTGGAGTGATCGATCTACCCAATATTCTGTAAATGGTAGCATAAGGTAATCATGGTCCAGGACCGCTGCTTGCAGAGACACCTTCGGATATAGATAACGCATCGTCATGTCAAGTAATGACTCAGCACAGTAATTGATGACGGCATTCCTGACATAGTCATTGTAGCCTGACATGTGTCTGAAGTGCTCTGGCCGGGGGTCGTCTTGCATACAAGACACCTTCGATGAAATGTCCTCTGCTTTGACAGGAGATCCTGGAATACCAATAATTATTTTTTCAGGAATGAGGCTGGCTTGTTACAAAATCAGGGTGTATGCATATGTTGGCAATTGTACACACCAGTATGTGCCTTCCTGGGCTTATGGAAAGTCTGTAGGCCTTCTGTGCAGCTCCTCTCCACATCTAGCTGGCCAGTCTCCACAAACTTCTGAATCATTAGCAGCACAGATTCGATGTGTTTGCATGTGGCATTTGGTCCTTTGCCCGCTGGACACTCACATTGGGAGTTCTGGACCTCACCGTTGCGACCATTCAGGCAGATTTTGTAGCTGTATGAGATCTAAAACGACAGTTGAAAACATGTTTGACATTGCAATTATATATTTTATGAACACATCTAAACATATATAAATTTACATGCAAACGTGCACAGATGAAGAATAAATAAGAAATGAATGAATGAAGAAATTGTAAATAGATATATTATTGTATCTCAATATCTTACATGTATGTTGGGAAATGTGATTTTATATAAATAGGTAATGTCATAAGTAATAATGTATAGCAATATTTAAAAGTAATGAAAATAATACAAGATATTTAAAAATTTATAATATTTTACTCTTATTCCATGGTTGGGTTGTAAACAGAAATAATAAGAGACAGAATAAATTATATATGTAAAATGGGGATAATATGTAAAGAGTATGGGAATGATTGAATATTCTATATGATGATGGTTGGAATGGTGCGGTGTGTAATGTTATGTCATCATTTTTCATTTAGGACACAACATGCTTTTTACAACAGAAGTCAATCATTACCAGTGTCACTGTAGTACTAAGACGTTAGTAGGTAAACTGTAAATTGTGTACGTACCTTCTTTCTCATGGAGGCTCGAACAATTCCAGTTATGTAGCATGCGTGCATGGTAGCCTGCACACTACTTGCTGCAATGCGACCCGACTTCAACATCAGCTGGTCCTTTTGAAGTGCTTTGATGTCTGTGTTGCATTGTCGGTCACTGGCCAGTCTGTACTTAAAGTACCCTTCTATCTGCGAGGACGATAGTTTCGGCAATATGTTCTGGTGAGCCAATGTCAGTTGTTGAAATCCAGTTGTTGGCCAGTCTGGAACAGTCTGCTCGGGAATGATGATGGGGTCAACCTTGAAATCTTGGTTCCTTATGTAATAGTCTAGTCTGCCAAGAGAAATAAAGTAAATACATACATATAGCTCTTCTTGCTTCCCACTACACACTACGGGTAACAGTATAGTAGAGAGTCTGGTCAGGCCAATTCAATTGTATACATAGTAGTACTAGTAGTACATACAATACATCGAGACTTCAGTCTCAGAGGTGAACTATTTAGTTAAACGTAAGGAGAAAAACGAATAGTTCTCTAGCACAATTCATGTCATATAACAGTTCTACATCTTCTTGCCTTTCTTATTATCCCTTAAATACCGTGTTTAATAAGTCATTTTAAATAATTAACGACTTCGAACGTGTACTGTACACTACATACACAGTGACTACACAGTAGGCCTACACTACATCTAGTCCGAGCCGACGCAGACCCCAGTAATGGATAAACCCGCACCCTCAGATTAGCAAAGCGGAGTTATAACGTCTGCATTTGCGGACTACACTACATCGTGCATGGCGGTGAACTTGTTTTGATCGTGTTTAATCATGCAAATATTGCATAACAGTTAACAAAAACATGCAGAATACCTTTTCACTAACTCTTCCTTCCTTCCTGACATACTAGCACCCCGTCTAGCAAGCTCTGTCTTTAGCTTTTGTACCGTGAAATCTCCAAATAATTTACTTGTTGGTAAAGATGCCATGCTGTACCGGAGGTCAACGAGGTCAACCCGTATGCCCGGTGGGACACTTACGCCCTCTATTATTTAATTCGGCGGCGCATGCCAATTGACTTTCAGGTGCCACGTTTCCTGTCGCCATAGCAACAGTAGATGCTTCATTAAATAACTTCAATTACTTATCTGAGTTTATTTTGACTAATAACTATAAAGGTGCGTTATATCTCATTTGGAATTTACTAGTGAATAATATATACACATACATGAGCACGCCCACAAACGCGATTACGCACACGCACATGTACACATATATACACGCACACACGTACATACGCACGCACACACGCACGCGCACACTCGGGCGCACGTAGTACATAATACACGACGAACCTTAACTCGAGTTAAGCGTCTACACGGGGCCTTAACTCGAGTTAAGGCCCGTGTAGACGCTTAACTCGAGTTAGCTTAACCTCCACGATAGGCGGCATCACTACTACGATGTACCTGCACACGCGCGCACGCACGCACGTCTACTTGCACACGCACGCACACACTCATGCACGCACGTGTACATTGAACACGCACGTGTACATGCGCACGCACGCGTGTACGTGCGCACGCACGCACGTGTACGTGCGCACGCACGCACGCACGCACGTGTACGTGCACATTCATGCACGCACGCACGTACGCACGCACGTGTACGTGCACACACGGACGCACGCACGCACGCATGCACACACACGCACGTGTACGTGCACACGCACGCACGCACGCACGAACGTGTACCTGCACACGCGCGCACGCACGCACGTGTACGTGCACATGCACGCACGTGTACGTGCACGTGCACGCACGGACGCATGCACGCACGTGTACGTGCACACACACGCACGTACGCACGTGCGCACGTGTACGTGCACACGCACGCACACGCGCACGCACGCACGCACGCACACATGCACGCACATGTAAACACCACGCATGCACGCACGTGTACGTACACACGCACGCACGCACGCACGAACACACGAACGTGTACCTGTACACGCGCGCACGCACGCACGTGTACTTGCACACGCACGCACACACTCATGCACGCACGTGTACTTGAACATGCACGCACATGTACGCACTCACGCATGCACGCACGTGTACGTGCACACGCACGCACGCACGCACGCACGCACGCACGCACGTGTACGTACACACGTACGCACGCACGCATGTATATGTGCACACGCACGCACGCTCGCACGTGTACTTGCACACGCACGCACGAACGAACGTGTACCTGCACACGCGCGCACGCACGAACGTGTACGTGCACATGCACGCACGCACGCGTGCACGCACATGTACGTTCACGCGCACGCATGCACGCACGTGTACGTGCACATGCACGCACGCACGCGTGCACGCACATGTACGTGCACACGCACGCATGCACGCACGTGTACGTGCACACGCACGCACGCACGCACGTATACATGCACACGCACACACGCACGCACACACGCACGCACGAACGCACGTATACGTGCACACGCACGCACACGCGCACGCCCGCACGCACGCACACACGCACGCACGCACGCATGCATAATAAATCGGTAATAATCGCTATCGGGTGTGTCGTGTAGACGCTACATAATCGCTAACTCGAGTTAAGGTTCGTCGTATAGACGAGGCTATACATATATCTATGCCATATATACATAGCTACATCTCATCGTGGACAAACACGTGCGTACTGCACATCCCCTCCCCCACCACCCGCTCACACGACCCCCTTCCCCGCTTACACAAGACACCCCACGCTCACCACTCCCACAATCACACGACTTCCTAGTTGCACAGCCCCCCGCGCCTGCACCTCCTCCCCCCACACCCTCACATACCCCTGCGCTTAGCCCCGCCCCTCGTCAGTGGTCGTACATTGTCGTGACGTACGTCTGACGAACACGTTCGTAACACTGACCAAATATAGCTTCTTCTTGAGAAACGCAATCTACATCGTAACTAAGTGTACATAGAATCTACAGTGTATGACGACACTGCGCAAACGCTGGGCTTACAAAAGTTTATTCTACGATAAAAATGTAACTCTTTGGGATATGAACAGCTTTTAAGTCCATACGGAAGATCAGGCGGCGTACCAACTGTGGTAAGCCATTACCTTCAAAAATAATTTCTAACGAATTTAAACCTAGAAACTTAATCGAACAATCATAATGTGCACGTACGACATACACACGAACAGGTACAGATGTTATACACTTTTCATCATACATATTCAGTAGATTTTGATTACAAAATTATATTACCGTTGCCACACGCATCACCGACTACAGTGGCGCCACATAGGTGACCATACTCCGTGCTGGAATGATTAGCAGACATCGTTGATGACCAACGTCGCTTTCCCAACGCAAATAATTAATTAACTAAGCTACAACGATAAATTTTAACGCTATGACTATATGATCGAATTACATAACCCTCTCCCCCCGGATCGCCGATGACGACGACTTACCTGGAGGCATAGAGACAGCCGCAGATGTACATAATCGTGTAAAAACCTCATGCGAATTTCCACGAAATAATCGCTATCAATCTGCTATATTTACAATTCATCAATCATACGTTGTTTACGAGCGATTACAAACCGAATGATACCGATTTTAATGGCATCGCGAAAGCTAACTCGCCACGGCGCACGCTACACGAGGGATGAGCACGCACGGGTTTTCTCATGCACGCACGAGTTTTCTCATGCACGCACGAGTTTTCTCATGCACGCACGCGTGCACGCACGCACGGGTTTTCTCACCGCATTTCTTACAGACGCGTGCCTTAACAACGTTATGGATTCATACTTGAAATCAGGTAACTAATCGGCCAAAATCTAAAATCAAATCAATCTAAAATTAATCATGTCATCTAATTATTATTATATCATCTAATATAAATCAATCTAATATCCAAATCAAATCTAAATCAGATGACTATCGCGAGTCGGCGACTACAGAGCAATCGTCGGGCGTAGACACGGAAATTAGATTGAGTTTCAGGTGCCACGTTTCCTGTCGCCATAGCAACAGTAGATGCTTCATTAACTAACTTCAATTACTTATCTAAGTTTATTTGACTAACGACTATAAAGGTGCATTATATCTCATTTTGGAATTTACTATTGAATATATATACTTACACATAACAATCACGCACACGCTCACACGCGCGCGCACACATGTCTACATATATACACGTACACACGCACGCGCACAATCGGGCGAAGGTAGTACATAATACACATATTTATATCTATGGCATATATACACGCACACACGTACACATGCACGCACGCCAGAGAGAGAGAGAGAGAGAGAGAGAGAGAGAGAGAGAGAGAGAGAGAGAGCGAGAGAGAGAGAGAGATAGATTGGTAGGTAGATAGATAGATAGATAGATAGATAGATAGATAGATAGATAGATAGATAGATTTAA